TGACTAGTGGGTCAAGCTTAGTGGGAAAGTCATTTTTAAAATAATTTTTCACTGGCAAAGACGTCATTGCATTCATCCATCCACACATCAACTATCTAAATTTGATATATGTATCCAGTAGAGTGACATGGTTCAATAAGTGATTACTCAGTTCCTTTTCAGTTACCTGATTGTATATCACTTGAGGCTAGTTATTTTATTCATCTAAATCTCAGCTTACACAATTTTACAAGGTAATAATATTCTTTGCTCTAGTTTAAAGACCATGGAATTCGAATTAGAAACTCAAATAAAAGCACTTTACAGAGTAGAGTATGTGTGTGAATGAATTTCACGTAATAATCAAACTTCTTCCTCTTTTCCCTCTTTTACCCTAAACTCTAGGGTTTCCCAGAGTTCTGGGAGAAAAACAAAAAAAGCCATCAAGCACCCAGGGGAGAGCAAATTGCTCCCAGTAAATAATAATGGATGGGGAAGGACTTCTTGTATCTATCGTCAGACTTCATGTGCGTGTACGTGCCCACGCACACACACACACAGATATGCACATAGATACACACTCACACACACGTACACAGCCTGAAATGGAACGTAATGCAGTGGCTTTGTAGTTCAGTCTTCAGGCAGAAAAAATGAAGTCTTTTTTAAGACTGTATGACTTGGAAGTGGGCCAGGAGTCGCTTCCTGGTATCTGTTCCCACATATTAAGTGGTGACGACTTGTGGGATGCTGGTTTAGGTTTGCCCAAACCCTATACTCCTACACGCCTCCCTTTCCCTTTCCTGAGACCCCAGCACCCCTGTGATGCCCCCGTTTTCCCGGGGAACAAGAATTGAATTAGAACAATGTATTTGGGGTCCCTGCTTAATGAGTCTGAAATTTCTTTTGCATGATGCACTTTAGTCAAACTGGAGATTTGTTTTCCGTTGAGGCCAATATACTTTTAAAATGTGTTAAAATATTAATAGGCAGTCTAGCTTTCCTGGAAGGAAACAGCTACACTGGAGCCTTGTTACGGTCGTTTTTCTTGAGCCCATGCCTTGGGGCAGTCTTATAATGAAGCCGTTTAACTCAAGAACCTTGCACTCTGTCGAAGGCGCGTGTCCTTAAATGGAACCGTTCTGTAATGGAGTGCTGTAGTAGCCTCAGGAATATGGTGACATTACAGAATTTTTGGCAGCCATGTTTTGTATGACAAAGCATCACTCATTTTTCTCAACACTGCAACCAAGACTCATACTTTACAGGGATGCATTTCAAGTGGCTTTCAGCCAATAACTGAAATGCCCAAGCCAACTTGGTTAAAAGAAAAAAAAAATCACTTTTTAGATAAGAAAATTGTCTATCATTATAATGTCAAGAAGCCAATTATATATCAAAGGCAGTGAATTATATTATGTATAATATATGCATTTAATAAGAATGAAACATGTTCTTTACCATAATTTCTCTTTATTTTCATTCTTCTTATGAAACACAACTTTTTCTGATGTTCAAATAAACATTTGTCCTAACATTTGTTAGATGGATTCTAACGACTATTTGGTCATGGTGGTGATGTTGAAATTTATAGAATTATATTCTCTATAATTATTTGATCCAGACTGTTGCATACACATAAAAGTAAAATTGATATTTAAAATAAAAGAGCTGTCTAAGTGTTGTTGATTTTCTAAAAAAAAAAAATAGGTTTGAAAAGCCAAAAGGTTTGGTAAACTTTGTGTTTACACACTGTGTGTGTGTGTGCATGGTAATTTATTCATTTTGTTTTGTTTTATTTTTGATTTGTTGTAGAGAAGAGGGGTCACCAAGTTGCCTGGGCTGGTCTCGAACATGCGGGTTCAGGCAATCCACTCGCCTCGGCCTCCCAAAGTGCTGGGATTACAGGCTGAGCCACCAAGCCCGGCCAATTTATTCATTTTAAAGGAAATTGAACTAAACTGTAAGATGTTACTTTTTCAAGGGAAAGGAAAATATTGAAGAGATTATAAACAAAGTCAAGCAAAATGAAAACTTTGTTCCATCAAGTATGCTATTTTGTTTTGGTTTTTAGATTAGGAAACATAGTTTATTTAGAGAGTAAATTAGAGAGAAAAAGGGGAGATTCATCTCCCCAAGGTAGGGGAGGGGCCCAAAGTCAGGAAACACGGCCTGGCCACAGCTCAAAGAGCACATGGCCACACCATAGCTTAGCAAGGCAATGGCCGCAATGGCCTGGCAATGGCCAAGTATGTATGCTATTTTGAAGCATTCCATAAGGATGCAATGAACAAGGAGAAATCCAATTTCACTTAAAAGACACCCCAGTTCTACTGAAATGTTTTAAGATAAACATCCTGAATGGTAGGATTTAATCTACATCAACTTTGCATTTTGGGCATTGTAAAAACTACAAGATTGTCTAATGATGATGACTCTTATAGGGAACTCATTTAGCTGACAGACGGACATACAGGCAAAACGATGTATGTGATGTTTAACAACAGTGACATAGTGTGAAGAGTGTCACAAACTCAGAGTGTCATATGACTGAATCCACACCAGTTAGTGTGACCTGTAGACTTTACAAATAGAAACAAGATCACGGTTCTATAATAACCTAAACTTTATGAATAAACGATATGAGGTCTGACAGTTAAATCTGCGAACTCATCCTAGAAAAAAATGTTACATACCTCACTGCTGGACATTGCTATGGTAACCTTTGAAGTGCTCCCCTTAGGAAGCCATGCACCAACGCCAGTGACTAGTCCACCCATCAAAGCAATTTTGAAGCTCTTTTTCTGGAACGGCCATCAGAGCTGTTGATGTGCTACCCTTGATGTCCTGAATGTCATCAAAATGTCCTCCTTTCAGTATTTCCGTTATCTTTGGGTAAAGAAAAAGTCATTGGGGACAAGATCAGGTGAGTAGAGAGGGTGTCCCAATACAGTTATTTGTTTACTGGCTAAAAAAGTCCTTCGCAGACAGTGCTGTGTGAGCTGCTTCATTGTTGTGATGCAAGAGCTCCTTCAGGACCGTTTTTACACATACCTTTATCATGCCAAGATTTTCAGTTAAGATTTTCCTGTTTCTTTATCAATGTTTATTTGGTCTGCTATGCTTTTCACATCCAGCTGACAATTCTGATGCACAGTCTGATGAAGTTTTGCAATGTTTTTGTCAGTTCTGCTTGTTACTGGCCGTCCTGACCTCTCTTCATCAGTGATAGATACAGTAAGGCTTTCCCTTCCCTCAGAAAAACATTGAATCCATTTGTCCACTGCTGTTTTCTTCAGGGCATTATTCCCATAAACTTGGACTAACATGTCCCTGACTTCACTTCCACTCCAGCCAAGTTTAACAGGACATTTAATGTTTGTTTGTGGCTCTAATTCAAGCTCCAACATTCTAGCAATGGCACACAAAATCATGCAACAATAATGAACGCCACTCAGCAAGACACCAACACACATTGAGATGAACACAGCTGTGAGACAGTGATACACCAAGGTGATGAAATCTTACCGAGTTGTTTGTACAGGGCTGCCAACGTACATGCATGACGGCAAGTTTGCAAACTTAGTTTTCAGACCTCGCAAGTCTTCTGAAAATACAAACTGTAAAATTACTGCATTATTGGGCATTCCTAAATTATTTTGTGGGTATTGCCCATAAGTGTTTTTATAGTTTTAAATAACATGTTCCTAGGGTACTAACATGCAGAGGAATTTTACATTTGTCCATAGTATGTAATAGAAAAAAAACAAAAAACTTTGGAGTAAAGCCATTTTTTCCCCTCCGTTTTGGACAAGCATATTGCATTTTTATTGTAGACGACCATGCCACTCCCCAAAATTCCTCTAAATTCTAAGAAAATCATACAGACTTTGTTCCACTTATAAAAACAACAAACATACAAACCTCATGTTAAGTAGAGCTTTGCTATGAAAGTGACAGCCAGCAAGTCTATGGACAAACATCAAAGGCATCTCATGGGAGTTTGTTGGAAACGCACTATTCCAGCCACCCTTCACATTGCTGAATGGGAATCTGCATTCTTTTTTTTTTTTTTTTTTT